AAATTTTGGAAGTTCTATTTATATTATACAATTTTTCTACATTAAATATAAGATTTTTTACTTAATTAGCAGTTTAAGTGTGTTTATGAATGTTTTTGTGTGTGTTTATGAGTGTTCGTTTGTTAGTGTGTTTGTCCACCTCCACGAGAACTGTAATAAGTGTTGAACTTCTTATTTTCATTTGGTTATTTATCCTGTATATTCGCAAGACGCGCAGTGAGTTACAAGCGCCGCGCACAATGGAAATATATCACTTTGTCTGACTTTTTAGGTTATCCTGGGTAATTTACGCATATGTTACTTTGCATGATCATTTGTGTAACTATTTATGTATATCTGTACCTAAAAAAAACTTACACACACTCTTATTTTCACTCTCATTTGCACATTTGTGCAACGGCAGCCTGCGTGGTCACCATCATTCATACACGCACAAAACAACGCAACTGCACGCACACACAAACATATATAAAAAAACACTCATCAACCTCTTACACTAATATGAATGCAATCACAAGCGCGCGCGCACACACACACACACCACACACGCACGCACACACACACACACACAACACATATATATATATATATATATATATATATATATATATATAATATATATTATATATATATATATATATATATTATTTTTTAATGTGTGTGTGTTGTGTGTGTGTGTGTGTGTGTGGATAAGTTCTTTATTGAATCCTGTACTTTCCTACATCTTCCACAACAGTGTCTCCCACTTAAACAATATTTTGCAGTTGTATATAAGACTGTGTCCAGCAGTTGTAAACTGTACCAGAAACAAACACTGGGACAAAAGCTGTTCATTATTTTTGTTTTGTTTACAATTATTGTTTATATTTGTGTCCGTATGTGACTCTGTCTTCCCACCAAGAAATCTGCTACAAAAATGTCATCAGTTTCCTTTTTTGTGGCAGTTCGTCTTTTTATATATATGCAAGTCACTGAAATGTCCACAAGTAAACACGCAAGTACACAAAGTACACACACACACACACACACACACACACACACACACACACACACACACACACACACACACACACACCACACCACACAATTCTCTCGTTCCACTGTGGATAATATACATGGAGAGAATTTCGGGGTCAACGCCCCGAGCCCCGTCTGAGACCAGACCTCTAGAATATATATAAACACAATTTCCCCAGCACACGTATAATACTTAATATCCAACCCCTGTGTCACTCACATGTGTGCAAACATTCTCATGCACATATGTGTACTTTCTCACACAGACATCATGAGACCACACCTCTCCTTATAAGTGTATCTGCTCTATAGTTATTACAGTGTAAGTTGAGGGACCTGCTGGTTCACCAGACTATTAAAAATTCGAGATAAATTACCTCCTACTTGATAACAATAGTTATGATCTATGGTTTGCGATGTTTTGTGATTTGCAGTAATGATTTGTGATTTAGAGTAATGACTGTGATTTTGCAGTGTTTTTAGTGATGTGTAGTGATATGTGATTTCCAGTTTGTATTTAAATTATATTTATATATTTTAATAGAATTCTGAATAATCGGGATGTAGAATGCTGTTACATAGTATTTTCTAGATATCCTTAATGATAAATATGAAGATATAAGGAAGTAACAGTTGAGAGAGTCTTGTACTGGATATAGCAAAAACATTCTTGTGAATTATTACATAATTTTTAATTTTTCCCGTCTTCACTTCTCTCAACTTCACTATATTGAGAAAAATATTCACAAACACAATAAAAAAGAAAGAAATAAGATGTACAAACTGGGAGAGTCAACCTCTCGACAAAAGTGATTGTTGATGTTGATGTTACAACCTGGCCAGTATACAAATCTGGCTTAATGTCTTCAATATGCTGTTTTATGTATTACTGTTATCTTGCTCTACTCTTCCCTTATTTTATTGTATTGTTCTTGTATGTTCTTGTGTGATATTTATGTACTGCTGTACTGTTCTGCTGTATGTTACTGTACTTTTCTTATGTGTTACAGTTTTGTTCTTGTGTGTTACTGTACTGTACAGTTTTGTGTTGTTCTATTGTTATTATGAGGTACTTTTCTAGACAGTTCTCATTATTTATTTTTTGTGTTTTCCGTCACTCGATCAATCACAATCTTGACATATTCATTCCTTGGTTAATGAACAGGCAATACACAAACACTAATATTTATGTGTTAGTATGCAGTCCTTGCATGTTACAGTAGTAATTTCCTGTGTATTTAAGTTACTCCACTGTTAACATAAGAACATAGAAAGGAGGAACACTGCAGGAGGCCTGTTGGCCCATACTAGGCAGGTCCTTTACAATTCATCCACTAACAAAACATTTGCCCAACCCAATTTTCAATGCTGCCCAAGAAATAAGCCCTGATGTGAAAGTCCCACTCAAATCCAACCCCTCCCACTCATGTACTTTTCCAACCTAAATTTGAAACTACCCAAAGTCCCAGCCTCAATAACCAACTAGGTAGACTGTTCCACTCATCTACTACCCTATTTCCAAACCAATACTTTCCTATGTCCTTTCTAAATCTAAAACTTATCTAATTTAAATCCATTACTGCGGGTTCTCTCTTGGAGAGACATCCTCAAGACCTTATTAATATCCCCTTTATTAATACCTATCTTCCACTTATACACTTCGATCAGGTCTCCCCTCATTCTTCGTCTAACAAGTGAATGTAACTTAAGAGTCTTCAATCTTCTTGATAAGGAAGATTTCTAATGCTATGTATTTAATTTAGTCATCCTACGCTGAATGTTTTCTAACGAATTTAGTCCATTCTGTAATATGGAGACCAGAACTGAGCTGCATAATCTAGGTGAGGCCTTACTAATGATGTATAAAGCTGCAGTATGACCTCTGGACTTCTGTTGCTTAAACTTCTTGATATAAATCCCAGTAATCTATTTGCCTTATTACGTATGCTTAGCCATTGCTGTCTTGGTTTAAGGTTGCTGCTCACCATAACCTCCAAGTCCTTTTCGCAATCTGTATGGCTAAGTTCTACATCATTTAACTTGTAAGTACTAGGGTTATGGGCACTCCCAAGCTTCAGAACCTTGCATTATCTACATTGAACTGCATCTGCCACTTTTCTGACCAAGAATAGAGTTTGTTTAAATCCTCCTGAAGTTCCATAACATCTACGTTTGAATCAATTATCCTACCTATCTTTGTGTCATCGGCGAATTTGCTCATATCACTAGTAAGTCCTCATCAAGATCATTGAATTATATTTAAAACAACACGGGCCCAAGACTGATCCCTGTGGAACGCCACTTGTTACAGATCCCCACTCGGATTTAACCCCATTTATGGACACTCTGTGCTTCCTGTCAATGAGCCCTGACTCAATCCACGAGAGCACTTTCCCCCAATGCCATGAGCTGCCACTTTCTTTAACAGTTCTATGGTGCGGAACTCTATCAAAAGCCTTACTAAAATCTAAGTAATAATATCAAATTCTTTATCGTGGTCAACAGCCTCAAAAGCTTTATGAAGAAAGTTAATAAATTAGTTTAGACAAGACCGGCCTCTTGTGAATCCATGCTGAGTATCATTAATCAAAGCTATGCTTATCGAGATGGTTCTTATAATCTCAGCTATATATTGACTCTAGTAATTTGCCTACAATTGAGGTCAGGCTTATTGGGCGGTAATTTGACGGTAACGACTTGTCCCCTGTTTTAAAAATAGGAATTACATTAGCCATCTTCCACATATGAAGACACTACACCTGTTTGAAGAGATAAATTAAAAATATTAGTTAATGGTTCACAGAGTTCCATTTTGCATTCCTTGCGTGTTGCCGTACCGTTTTTCTGCATTACTTTACTGTTCTTGTATACTGACATGCTTGCTGTGTTGCTGAGGTGAGGTAAAGCTTCCACATTATTATTTACATCAAGCACTTCAAACTTCCCACTGTACCTTCCACAACAGTGTCTCCCACACTAATTATCATATCACCCCAAGCAATAATTTTCCACGACTCAACATTCCTAACACATTCACTTAACATCTAGCATCCCACCATTTGCTTCAGGATTCAATTTCCAGTGTTATTACTTTAGCTGCATTTCGTGAGTCTTTACTTGACACTAACAAAGTACTGTCATGCACATACAGTGAAAAAGTTAGCGGTTTAGCGTTAGCTGAGCTAATTTTTTAGTTAGAGGATTAGCGGTTAGCGAAGCTAACTTTTTGGTTAGCTGTGCCCACCGCTGTTTTTAAGTTTAACGAAGGGAGACTCAAGATCGGAACATTCTCAAACATTTAAATTTACTTTTTTCAAATTTTCCGTTTATTGCTTGAGAACACCATATTCGTTTGGCTTCAAATTTTCAGTGCTGATGTGTTGTATCCCGGGCAAGATTCTTGGCACTATTTGCATGCCCTATATGCAATAATACAAATCCCATTCCAAATTTTCTTTCTGTGTGACAACTGTTAAAAGGCTCCTCTCATCGACATTGAAATTTGACTGTGTATCCTACTAAAACAGTTGGTATATTTAATGGAATGGATAGCTGCTCTACCACAACTATTCTTCTCAAAATGGTTTAGAATTACTTTACATTATTACATTATTTTCCCATGACACTACCATAATATTTAAAGGGGGTGGACCGGTAAGCCAGCGGAAGGCCTCGGTCAGATGACCAAAAGCTCCAACAGCGGGTCATCATCGAAGACCCGCGTCAGGAAAACTATGTCCTGTTTCCTGACGAACCTTACCTAACCTAACCCTTGACACTGGTGAGGGTTTCTTAACCCAAACTGGATTCGTCTTACTTTTTCTGGATTGGAATTTAAATGCCTACTATTCCAGAGGCGCGTTAAGCATTGTTCTTGACTTACATGTAGAAATTAGGAAAGGCATCATCAATCTTCAGTGGCGATCTTTAAACTTTTAGTCCTGATGTGTTTTCCTCAGAGGAAGCAATCTGTTGAGGTAGGTTAGTAGAACTGAGGTTAAGGTTAGTAGAACTGAGGTTAAGGTTAGTAGAAGGTTCCGAATTTATTAATAAAATTAGTTTGTGAGATAATTTACTTTTTCGGTTCCCCTCATTTAAATTAATATTATGTACTTTTATATATGGCTATAACAGCCGTGTGACGAAGAATGTCGTCAAAATACCGTAAACTAGCGTATAAATGTACGTAAAAATACATATATATGTGTATGTTTGTGCGCTTGTTAGTCTTTCAATGACATATGAAAATGACCAATAAATAAATAAAAATGAAAACAGTGTAATATTTAATACAGTTTTGATGGAGGTGGAAAAGTTCTTCAACACTTGGACATTCATCTACATAAAATAAAACACTTACAAATACTTTTAAACTGATAAATAAGCAAGAAAATCTCGTACTTAGACTAAATTCATACTGTAATATAAAAGGATTTCCAAAATTTACGTTAATTAGCCTCTCGGAGGTGGCGGAACTGTGAGGCAGCTTGGTGGCGTCTAGCTGACCTACGGTCGCGGCTGTCTTGGTGGGTGTAATTACTGGACGCAGTTTTCTGTGTGTGTCACCTCCAGTAATTCCACCCACCTGGACAGTCTCTACCGTAGACCAGCTAGACAAGACCAAGTTTCCATGCAGCGAGGTCACTGAAGGTGGCAACCGCTGACTCTGGGGAAGTGGGGAAGGGAGTCCACCTGAGGTGACATAAGTGGACTCCTGGAGACACTGATCCGGGGAAGGCACCGCTGACTCTGGGGAAGTGGGGAAGGGAGTCCATCTGAGGTGACATAAGTGGACTCCTGGAGACACTGATCTGGGGAAGGCACCGCTGACTCTGGGGAAGTGGGGAAGGGAGTCCATCTGAGGTGACATAAGTGGACTCCTGGAGACACTGATCCGGGGAAGGCACCGCTGACTCTGGGGAAGTGGGGAAGGGAGTCCACACAGGTGATACAAGTAGACTCCTGGAGACACTGATCCGGGGAAGGCACCGCCGACCTTAGGTAAGTGGGGAACGGAAGACATCCGGAGCGAGCGGATGGATTCCTGGATTCATAAACTTGGGGAAGGTTGTGGTTGAGGCTGACCTTGTGTAAGTGGGGAGATATCCGGCGGTAGACGGATGGATTCCTGGATACATGAACCTGGGGAAGGCATGAATACATGCAGTTGAGGCTGACCTTGTGTAAGTGGGAAGGGAGACATCCGGCGGTAGACGGAAGGATTCCTGGATACATGATCCTGGGGAAGGCATGAATACATGCAGTTGAGGCTGACCTTGTGTAAGTGGGGAAGGGGAGACATCCGGAGCGAGCGGATGGATTCCTGGATACATGAACCTGGGGAAGGCATGAATACATGCAGTTGAGGCTGACCTTGGGTAAGTGGGGAAGGGGAGACATCCGGAGCGAGCGGATGGATTCCTGGATACATGAACCTGGGGAAGGCATGAATACATGCAGTTGAGGCTGACCTTGTGTAAGTGGGGAAGGGGAGACATCCGGAGCGAGCAGATGGATTCCTGGATACATGAACCTGGGGAAGGCAAGAATACATGAAGTTGAGGCTGACCTTGGGAAAGTGGGGAAGGGGAGACATCCGGCGGTAGACGGATGGATTCCTGGATACATGATCCTAAGGAAAGCAAGAATACCGCTGACTCAGAGGAAGTGGGGAAGGGAGTCCACTCAGGTGACACAAGTGGACTCCTGGAGACACTGATCCGGGGAAGGCACCGCCGACCTTAGGTAAGTGGGGAAGGGAAGACATCCGGGAGCGAGCGGATGGATTCCTGGATTCATAAACTTGGGGAAGGTTGTGGTTGAGGCTGACCTTGTGTAAGTGGGGAAGGGGAGACATCCGGAGCGAGCGGATGGATTCCTGGATACATGAACCTGGGGAAGGCATGAATACATGCAGTTGAGGCTGACCTTGTGTAAGTGGGGAAGGGGAGACATCCGGAGCGAGCGGATGGATTCCTGGATACATGAACCTGGGGAAGGCATGTATACATGAAGTTGAGGCTGACCTTGGGTAAGTGGGGAAGGGGAGACATCCGGCGGTAGACGGATGGATTCCTGGATACATGATCCTAAGGAAAGCAAGAATACCGCTGACTCAGAGGAAGTGGGGAAGGGAGTCCACTCAGGTGACACAAGCAGACTCCTGGAGACACTGATCCGGGGAAGGCACCGCCGACCTTAGGTAAGTGGGGAAGGGAAGACATCCGGGAGCGAACGGATGGATTCCTGGATTCATGAACTTGGGGAAGGTTGTGGTTGAGGCTGACCTTGGGTAAGTGGGGAAGGGGAGACATCCTGGTCACATGAACCTGGGGAAGGCTGAGGCTGGAAGGCAGAAAGAGAGAGAAAGAGAGAGAGGCGAGGCTGACCTTAGGGAACTGAGAAAGGGGAGACATCCGGGGGCCCACGGATGGATTCCTGGACACATGAACCTGAGGAGTTCGAGGGGGGGGGGGACCTTAAAGACGAACCACTGGCCTCCACGTGGCAAGGTCTGGTAACTCAGAGATAACTCTGAGGCTGACAGTGGTCGCAAATTTGATTTGGATTCAAAAGCGTCGACCTCAAAAGTAGCTGTTGTGGTCTTTTTCCCACTCCAGCCTCCCTGACAGTAGCCACGGTGATGTTATTCCCACTCCAGCGTCCCTGACAGTAGCCACGGTGGTGTTATTCCCACTCCAACCTCCGTGACAGTAGCCATTGTGGTGTTATTCCCACTCCAGCCTCCCTGACAGTAGCCACGGTGATGTTATTCCCACTCCAGGCTCCCTGACAGTAGCCACGGTGATGTTACTCCCACTCCAACCTCCGTGACAGTAGCCACGGTGGTGTTATTCCCACTCCTCCCTCCCTGACAGTAGCCACGGTGGTGTTATTCCCACTCCAGTCTCCCTGACAGTAGCCACGGTGATGTTATTCCCATTCCTCCCTCCCTGACAGTAGCCACTGTGATGTTATTCCCATTCCAGCCTCCCTGACAGTAGCCACGGTGGTGTTACTGAGTTGTACTCTTCTGTGTTACTGTACTGTACTCTTCTGTGTTTCTTTGCTTACTCTTCTGTTATTGTACTCTTCTGTGTTACTGTACTGTACTGATCTTCTGTGTTACTGTACTGATCTTCTGTGTTACTACTGTACTGATCTTCGGTGCTACTGTACTGTACTGATCTTCTATGTTACTGTACTGGTCTTTTGTGTTACTGTACTGATCTTCTGTGTTACTACTGTACTGATCTTCTGTGGTACTGTACTGTACTGATCTTTTGTGTTACTTTACTGATCTTTTGTGTTACTGTACTGATGTGTGTTACTGTCAGCATAGTTGCTGATCCCTGTATTCCCAGTATTATATAGCATAGCAGTAGCATCATCCATGTGCTTTAGACACGAGACCCCTCGTAGGCCTGTGGCTTTGTGTGACGTCACGGGATGCACACGAGGAAGCTCATTAAAAGACTCTCAGATGGGGGACCATCAACTGAAGCGTCAGCTCTGGCTCTAACTGCAGTAAACCAACCTTCAAGGTTGTCTGGGTCACCATTGAATAATGGCATAGCATCATACGGATCACGAGTGAAGTTACGCAGGCCAGAAGTCTGAGTATGTCTATCGTTTGATACGGAGTTACTCGAATTTTGGGCTGACACATTAATGGTTGTACTAGCAGCATGTGCTGAGGCATCGCTAGAGAAAACTTGAGACATGTTTGCAAAATGTAAAACAAGAATTTAGAGAACAAAAGAAAATGATAACTGAGGAACACACAACACAGTGAACTTAAATGGAAGAAAATGCTTAACTATTCTGCATAAGTAATTAAAAATTGACAAGTTACACAGTAAGCAAAGAACTCACACAAGAAGAATATGCAATTTAACAAACACTGAAAATCAAGAGAACTTTTACTTTGCTCAAATCTAATATGCTCAACTTTTACTTTAAATTGAATAAATGGCACAGTGAGTTGTCTTTACTTTCAATGCAACAAGGAAATACACAATAAAATGATAAAATGGACTCAATAAACTTGTGCAAAATTAAACAACACACAATTCACTGAAATTAAAAAAAAATAAAATGACACAGACAGAGTAAAATACTATGCACAGAACAGAGCATAAGAAACTGCACTGTAATAAACTGTAGCAATATATCAAATAATTGCTAATCAAAAAAAAAAGTATTGCAAAAACACTGCATAAAATTTTCTGCAAGAAAAACTTTAATAGCAACACAATATTTGCACAAGAATTATTGCAAAATGAGTCAATGTGCAATAATAAAAATTATAACACACAAGAAAAGAAATATATCAAGGAATGAACACTTTAAACTCTTAACTGCACTTAAACAACACTTTACAAGCAAAAGAACAATTTACTTTAAAAGGAGAACTTAAAAATTGCACTAAGAGTGAATTTGTTCAATAAAACATGAAAATAATAGGTGCAAAAAATACATAAAACAGAGGGTTGAACACTTACAGTGATGCAGAAACAACACATCAATATAAACACAGTACTAGAATTTTCTTGCAATGAAACTTGATGTGTGAAAAAATTTTGTAAAAGTGATTTCTTGCTGGGACTTTAATAATGGCACTATTGTCTGTGGAAATAAGACAAATTAAACCTGGCTGAATAAAAGAATATGAACACAAGAATGTTCAACACACAGGGAACAAAACAAAAAATACAAAATGCTAGGAAGAAAAAAAAATTAACAGACAACACTGAGTTGTGATGCAGAATATGAGGTGAAAAATTACTGAATTAATTCACTGGAATTCTGAAGTTTAAACACAAGTTCTATATTGCTCATATGTTGCACACACAACAAAGGAAAACACTCAGTACTTACTTCAAGTGTATAAAAAAATACACAACACAACAGATATAAAATGATGCACGAAAATTAACACTGAATTAAGGAGATTAAAAGAAATTAATGCAATCAGTACATGATAAACACTGAGTCTGATCAAGAGTCACTGAATGTCACTAAGAGAAAAATTCACTGGGAACACAAAAGAAATGTCTCAACACTCGCAAATGTCTCAAAAAAAAAAAAAAATATTATCGCTGTAACACTTGAAGAATGAGATTGATGGATTGTTTATATTGTCTTGCTGCTGTCCTCTGCACAGATGATCGTTAGAATTGCGCTTAAATCGGCGATAGACAACACACAGGAGGCTTTTAAAGATGGCGCGACACACTCTAGCTCTTGACCCCCTATGTGGTCCTTAAAATATGGTGCTACAACCCTTAGCAGTGCACCAAAACACTGATGAGGAAGGTGAGTTGTAATGGCCGACTGTGGTTGGGTTTGTGGGTTAATGGCTGAGCGAGGCGTCTGAGACCGGCAATGGTGCGACACGCGTGATCGTGAGTGGCTGGGCTTATGGGTTGAACGTCGTAAGCCTCACTGAGAACACCCACACTGCCGCGAAGATTAATTCTAAGCCGGCTGGCTTAAAATAAACCCACGAAATACTACAACACCACAAGGATGACAAGGAGCACTCAGAATGCTTGGAGCTTGAATCACAAGCGATGAAGATACTCACGTGGCTTGCTTGAGTACTGGGGTAAGACACCTGGGTTAGTTGCTAGCTGGCTTATCTTAACCCTTCACACAGAATAGCTTGATAACTTCACACGATGAGCACAGCAGGGTGGAAGCTGGCTTGGCAGGCAAAATAATTGGATGGAGTAGGCTAGGCTGGACTGGACTCGGTTGTTCTGACTCCCCCACCACAGACTGGAAACTGGCTTATTTTGCAAACTCGGGTTAAACCCCTCGTGAGTGATGCAAAAAGCAGGTAACACTAATACAAAGAGGACTGACCAGTGAATAATGTAGAAGCTGGTAGAGTAGCTGGCTTGAGGTAGCTGGCTGGGTGAATCTCGGAAGTCGATAGGCCTCTCAGTCAGTTAGTATATATTTTGATAGAATTACCGACAATATATAAAGTAAAAGGATACAAATGCAACTAATGTGACATTTTATTGTGGCAATTTTACTGTGACATTTTATTGGAATTTATTGTTTCGCTCTCCAGGCTTTGTCAACCCGTTACAAACAGTACATTGACACAGATGGTATATATAGGTTAGAGTGAGGTGTGATTGCAGGTGGTAGTAGTAGTAGTAATATAATATTGCAGGTTTAGTAGTAGTAATATAATATTGTAGGTGGTAGTAGTAGTAGAAATTAATATTGTAGGTGGTAGTAGTAGTAGTAATAAAATATTGCAGGTGGTAGTAGTAGTAGTAATATAATATTGTTGGTGGTAGTAGTAGAAATTTATAATATTGTATGGGGTTTGTAGTAGTAGTAGTATAATATGCAGGTGGTAGTAGTAGTAGTAATATAATATTGTAGGTGGTAGTAGTGTAATATAATATTGTAGGGTGGTAGTAGTATTTAGTAATTTAATATTGCAGGTGGTAGTAGTATTTGTAATATAATATTGCAGGTGGAAGTAGTAGTAGTAATAAAAATATTGTAGGTGGTAGTAGTATGAAATTTATAAATATTGTAGGTGGTAGTAGTAGTAGTAGTATAATATTGAGGTGGTAGTAGTAGTAGTGTATAATATTGAGGTGTGTAGTAGTAGTAATTAATATTGTAGGTGGTTTAGTAGTAGTAATATAATATTGTAGGTGGTAGTAGTAGTATTTAATATAATATTGCAGGTGGTAAGTAGTAGTATTTAATATAATATTGCAGGTGGTAGTAGTATTTGAAATATAATATTGCAGGTGGTAGTATGTAGTAGTAATATTAATATTGTAGGTGGTAGTAGTAGTATTTATATAATATTGCAGGTGGTAGTAGTAGTAATATAATATTGTAGGTGGTAGTAGTAGAAATTTAATATTGCAGGTGGTAGCAGTAGTATTTATTTTAATATTGCAGGTGGTAGTAGTAGAAATTTAATATAATATTGTAGGGTGGTAGTGTAGTAGTAATTTAATATTGCAGGTGGTAGTAGTAGTAGTAATATAATATTGCAGGTGGTATAGTAGTGTAATATTTTTTGCAGGTGGTAGTAGTAGTAGTAATATAATATTGCAGGTGGTAGTAGTAGTAATATAATATTGCAGGTGGTAGTAGTAGTAGTAATATAATATTGCAGGTGGTAGTAGTAGTAGTAATATAATTTTTGCAGGTGGGGGTTTAGTAGTGTAGTAATATAATATTGTAGGTGGTAGTAGTAGTGTGATATAATATTGCAGGTGGTAGTAGTAGTAGTTTTTATAATATTGCAGGTGGTGGTGTAGTAGTAATATAATATTGCGGTTTTG